CATGATTCGGAATGTAAAGCCACACAGAGATATATTCACAAAAGCTTCCTATTCATACCGGTCTCTGCCTCTTTTCCCTCCTGTGAGGACTGTTTTTCACTTTTTCCTTCTTGTGTTTCCTTTTTTCAAGTATTAGAGAATAATTGAAAGCATTGAAATGATTTCTTTTATTGCTGTTGAGTCGATCCTAACTCTCAGCACCCCCACGTGGCCCCGAGGATTTCCTAGCCTGCAGTCCTTACAGAATCAGATCATCTTTCTCCTGTAGAACTGGTGCATGGATTCAAACCGCCGACCTTTCAGTTAGCAGTTGAATGTGTAAGTGTTACACCTCTTTAAGATCTTATTAATAAAACTAAACCTACTGCTGTTGAGCCCACCAGCACTCGTGGGGACCCTTCTTGGGATTTCTGAAACTATAAATCGTTACAAGAGGAGATCGCTTATCTTTCTTCTTCAGAGTTGTTGGTGGATTCGAACTACCAAGCTTTTGGTTAGCAGTGAGTGCATCATTTGACCATATTTTCAAAACTCATTGCTGTTCAGTCGGCACTGACTCATAGCTCAACCTCTAGCAGATTTTTCAAAGGCTATCAATCACACAGGAAGAGAATGTCCCTCTTTCCCTCCCAGAACTGCTTTGTGGATTCACATCAGCTGAGAGGCGTATGACCTTTGGTTATCTGCATGTGGCCCCACAGACTGCACCACCAGAGCTCTGCCATACTTGATGGCTCGATGGCACCAAAATTCATTGCCGTCGAGTCGGAACAGATTCACAGCCAACCCTCCAGTAGGTTTTCAGAGGTTGTAAATTGCATGGAAGGAGATTGTCTGTCATTTTGCTGTGGAGCAACTGGTGGATTCAAACTACCTTTGAATTGAACTGCATGCCTTTGGGTTTGCAGTACAACTCCTTAAGCTTGAGGCCATTATTTCCCTCTTTCTTGCCAAAAAACAAACAAACAAGCAAACAAACAAAAAGTTGGTAAGCTGTACTGTGTGGTAGTTAGTAGTTTAACATATAATGTGTTAAATCACCATGTTGTTAGGTGCCATCTAGTTGAGTTTGGCTGATCATCATGTTAAGGAAATATCAAACAATGTAAATACTAGTTGGCACTTTACATCATGCATTCAGATTCTCATAGCCATTTCTAGCTCCTTTGGAAGGTCGTCAGGTTCAGGAGAGAAGCCAAGGCCAATATCACCACTTATGTTGGCAGAGAGGTCTGGACCAGGCCTCACAGTGCATCCTCCAAGGCACTTTCTACATCGCTATCTCCCTGCCCAAACCACAGTGCTATTTTCTCTTACAGACACACACAGCCGGCAGTGGCACCTACATCTGAATTTGAGCCCATGGACTTAACAAGGGCAATCCAAGTTTCCAGGGAACACTTCCTTGGCTCCTGAGCACCAGGCCTGGTGACATTTTTAAATTCTTTCATCTGTGCTTCTTGAGTTTTATTTAGCACCTTTTTTTTTTCTTTTTTGCATAAGACTGGGTGCTGGGGGTACTCAGCAGTGGGGTATACAGAAAAGCCACATGGTACCCACTGTGCCTGGGAATGTGGGGATAGGAGTCATCTTGTAAGCCCTCTGTCCTGATGTGCCATCCCGATGTGCCCTCCCAGCCTCCGTGGAGCTTAGCCCCATATCTTCTCTGCAGAGCCTCCCCATCTGCACTGTGTGAGCTAAATCTTGTCGTGTGTTCTCTGCTCCCTACCCTCATCTCCCCCTGGGTCTTCCTCAAGCCATAACATTGAGTTGTGACCTCATCTTGACTATATAAGCTCTTAGAAACTGTATCATAAACATCATCATGTGCTTAGTACAGGGCTTGGTACATAGTAGGTGCTCACTAAATATCTGTCAAGTGAACATGAGGGCAGAAGCACCCCAATTCCAGGCTTCTTGTGAGCATGCTCGTGTGGTCATGCGCCTCCCAGGGATCTTTTCGCCTTCATTTTCTGAAGCTTGGCTCTTACCTTCACCCTCCTTGGCCACTTTCCAATTCAGCTGTCTATTAATTTGTCCCTTGTCCACTTCCTACGTCTTCCCTCCCAGTCTGTCTGCCTTCAACCCCCCCCCCCCCCCCGCCCAGTTCAATTCAGCACTTGCCTTCATATGCACCCTTGTGTGCTGGCTGATTGGTATCTGTTAATTAATGTCACCCAAGGCCTCTCTCCTCCTCAGTGGCCTGATAAGGGAAATTGGCTGTCCATCTCTATCTATTATTACCTCCCGGCTCCCCCAGTAACCTGGGCAGCACACACCCTCAGCCATGTGTGCAATCAGGACAGAAACACACACCTCGGACCTCTCACCCCACAGCCTCTCCCAGGGATGGAGCATCAATCAGCATCATGTGTCAAGCCAGTGTGATAGCTCAGCCTGCTGGTCACCCCCGGATGCCAGGTGTGACCCAAGGTCCAGGTTGTACAGCGAGAGCCTGGGAGCCACAGTAATCAAACTAAGAGGCACCCACAGGTGACGCCAGCCCGCTGAGTGAACGGAGCTGTGGGTGGAGGGTCTGAAAATGAGATGAGATGGATCGCCAGAGTCATAGGTGGCGCGATCGGAGCAGGCCAGGGCAAGTTTCAGATCTGATGTTCACAGGGTCACTACAAGTCACAGTCAACTTGATGACAACAATTCAGTTAACATCTTGAAGCAGGGAGTGGCAGTGACTTTCAGAGACTGGGGATCGCAGATGGGAGAAAGGCCACCCCCCCAGAAATCCAGAGATCTTGTCCACTGCAGATACACAGGCCTAAGTTAGGAGAGAGTGAGAGCAACAGAATGCCAGTGACAGGAGTTAACTGCGGCCGTTCCTGCCGCACAGCTCACACGCGTGCAGGAGTGGTGCTCAGGTACCACCTGCACCACCTCCTCGCCCTGTGGCACCCACGTGGCACAGGCGTGTCATAAAGCTGAGCCCAGGTAGAAGGCGTGTCGCAAAGCTGCACCCAAGCAGAGTCAGTTTCCAAGTCAGCTTGTGAAGGAAACAGTCCAACACAGGCAAAGTGGCATGCTGTGCAAATGGCTGTGTGGATACTCCTCCTTCTAGCAAATTTAGCCCAGTCATTTCTGTTCTCCCATGTTGGAATGTGTTGCTTTCTGAGTGGGGAAACCTTGACCCGCCCCCCAGGACAGTTAGTGGCTTCTGATTGGTGGTCAAGGTGGTTGAAAATTCCTCCCTTCTCTCTCTCTCTCTCTTAAATCAAAATGTTAGTTGGATTATTAGTCTAAGTTAGTTCATGTTGTCATTGTTTGCTGCCAAGCTGAAACGGACCCATAGCTGACCTTCCAGTGGGTTTTCAGAGGCTGTAAACTGCATGAGAGGAGAGTGCCTCTCTTTCACCCATGGAGCAGCTCGTGGATTTGAGTTGCATGCCTTTAGGATTGTAGTGCAGTTTCTTACCACTAGGCCCCCAGAGCTCCCCCTAAGTTAAGTGCATAATTCAGTCAGTTCTACTGTGTGGTTCATAGTTCTAGACGATGACTTTATAGCCCATCATTAACAAGAAGATCTCAACCAGGCTGCTCCTTGGAGGCAAGGATTCTGAGGCTTCGTCTGACATACTTTAGACATGTTGCAAGGAGGGACCAGTCCTTAGAGAAGGACATCATGCTTGGGAGGATAGAGGGACAGCGCAGGAGGGGAAGACGGATGAAATGGATTGATTCAGAGACTGGGATAATAAGGGTAGGTGTATCAGAGACAGTAAGGGTGTCATAGGATAGAGCAGGTTTCAGGCCTATTGTACATAGGGTCGCTATGAGTCGCAAGCGACTCGACAACACACAACAAGATCTCAGTGTGAAGTACTTTGTGTGTTCCATTTGGTTTCGATTTCATAGCCACAAGACTTGGTCTTGCTTAGACTTCCCAGCCTCTTTCTGAAGTGGGAACTGCTGCTGAACCCATTTTATAGATGAGGAAGTCGAGGTGTTGAAAAGTTCCATGACTTTGACCAGGTCAGCCAAGGAAATGAAGAGTGGGGACTCGGACCCAGATACATTGTCCCAGGCACACTGGACAAGGCAGTGTGATCATTCTAGAACCGTTCCTACCCCCAACCTTCTCTACGCAGTCAGCCTCGCAAGTCTCATAAAAACTCACAGCCTGGGAATTGAAGGAATTTTTTTTTTCTTTTCTCTCTTCGGAGGAGGAAGCGAGCTGGTGGGGACGGGTGGGCAGGGAGAAAATTGCTGCAATGAATGAATGGAAATCCAAAACCTCTGTAAAAAAACAACAACAACAAAGAAAAACAAAACAAAACAAAACTCACAGCCTTCGAATTGGCTCTTGCTCATAGCTGACTCTGCAGTTAGTTTCCAAAGCTGTAAATCACACAAGAGGAAATTGCTCATCTTCCTCCTGAGTTTCAGCTGGTGGATTAGAACCATCGGAGAAGTACAGCCTTTGCATTAGCAGGGTGACTCTGTACTGAGTATGCCAGAGGACCTATGTCTTATGAGGAAGGTCCCAACTGTCCGCTAGGGCCTCTTTAGCTCTAAATATCCCACAGTTGTGCTCACTGGATCCGTATCCTTCCGCCCTGGGTGGAAAGAGCTGAGTCTCCATTCCTGTTCAGGCCCATGGGTTTCAGCACAGCTGGGACTCTATTGAGTTTCAGATGTCACCTTGAAATACCTCCTCAAGTTTGAGCAGGGAAGGGGGTCTGCACTGCTGTATCCTGATTCTATTATGAATTCAGTCACTCCTTAAATTACACAGGCATCTAATTAATCAAACAACCTTCACAGACAGTTGAAACATACCATAAAACAAGCAATAGTAATGATACCAACTGTCAACATTGACAGAGCTCTTCTTATGTAAGTTTTCTCGGTGAATTCCAGGTTCCTGGGGAAAGCAGGGACACAGGAAGGGCACTCCAGCAGGATCCTGAGGCTAATCCACTCTGGGCAGGCCCCGACGAGGCCGTGACCACCCTCATACCCACCTCCCCTGACCCATCTCCCTGCAGGCTTCTTGAAACTGTTGCTGGGGGACCAGATGAGCCTGCTGCAGAGCGCATGGATGGAGATCCTTATTATGAGCATCGTGTACCGGTCCCTGCCCTACGACGACAAGCTGGTGTACGCGGAGGACTACATCATGGATGAGGAGCACTCCCGCCTGGCAGGGATGTACGAGCTCTACCGGGCCATCCTGCAGCTGTTGCGCAGATACAAGAAGCTCAAGATAGAGAAGGAGGAGTTCGTAATTCTCAAGGCCCTGGCCCTGGCCAACTCAGGTACGGGCAGATGTGGGGGGCTCAGAAGACAGAGAGGGGGGAAAGTCTGCAGGGGCTTGGAAATACAGCGCCGGGGCCAGGCTGGTGTGAAGACCCTGAAGCTTCATCACTGCACACTGGCACGAGGGGTGGACTGGAGTTAAGGGGATGGTGGTAATGGCTAGCATTGACTGGGCGTTTTTCCCAAGTCTGACTTCCTGGACAGCAAGCTGGCCCCTCGCCAGGATTCTAAAAGCAAATCCCACTTCCACCTCATGAGCTAGTTGCTCTACTCTTTGCCTCAATTTCTTGGTCACAAAGTTATCGAAGAGATTTCTTTCTAGAGAACCATATGCTTACAACATGCTTGGTACATAGTAAGTGCTAGGAATCCCTGAGTGGTATGTATGATTAACACTCTTGGCTGCTTACCAAAAGGTTGGAGGTTCAAGTTTATCCAGGGGCACCTTGGCTGTCTGCATCTGAACAGTAAGTCAGTTCTACTGTGACACATGCAGGGCCATTGCAAGTTGAAATAGACTTGATGGCACCTGGTGTAAACTTATTTCATTTACTGTGAGTGAAGTTTTCGTATTTTAACCCCATTTAACAGATACACAAACTGAGACTTGGAAAAGAAGCAAGTTGACAGGTCCACATAATTTAAAAGTATATCAGAGCTTGTACTTGGCACCAAACTAAAAAAAAAAAATATCCCATAGCCTTTGAGTCAGAATCGACTCAGAGCCGACCCCCTTCTTGCGTTCCACAGACTATAAATTGCACAGGAGGAGATTGCCCATCTTTCCCTCAAGGAGCAGCCTGGGGATTGAGCCACAAGAGGGGTGAAGCCTTTTTTTAGAAGAGAAGTGTAGCACATCCCCCTGTGCCCTAGGCCACCAGGGCTCCCTTGCATCAGTCATGTGATTTCAATGTCAGCTTAAGCTTAGACTGTTATCTCAGTTGAATTTGCTCAGGCATAAGAGAGAAACATCTTCCCATCTGAGTTCTTTAGCTTGGCCTTAAAAAGGAGGCCTCTGAGAGAACTGTTTAAAAGGGATATATGATTAGGTATTATTGTCATGACTGGAGTCCAGAACGAAGGCTGCATAGTGGAGTGGACTTGGGGGAAGGGATTGTATAACAATGAAAGAATTTTTCTTTCACTTTTCAAAGAGAAGAGCAAATGGGGAGGGGTAGGGGGGCAGGGAGAAAAGTGCAACAATGAATGGAAATCCAAAGTCTCTGTAAACTTTCATTAAAATGAATAATTTTTTTTAAAAGGGAAAAAAAGAAGATAGAAGGAATACACAGAAAAAAGGAGGCCTCACCTCCATTTCTCTAGCACCTCTCAGTCTCTGGATAGGTTATCTGCAGAATGAGTCTACGCCTTGGGCAATGTGGCTAATGGAATTGAATTGAAGTGCTAGTGGTACTGTTCTCTGCAGCCCCCCACCCCCACCCCGTGCTGAGGTTCACTGCTCAGACCTGGGGTCAGGTGGATCCAAGTTCTAATTCTAGCGCCAATGCTTACCTGCCCAGTGGCCTCGGTAACACTGGATCACCTTTCATAGATCTGTCCCATGGGTGTAAAATGGGAATATTTCAGTACTTCTGCAAGGATTCTTGTGAAATGTGCAGTGATTGGCTAAAGAGAAAGCATTTTGCCCTGTGCTTGCCTAGAGGAAAGGTTCACTAAATGTTATTATCATTATTCATATTAGAGGTTTTCGAAGGTCTATTATTTTGGAAGTGAATGGCCAATCCTTCTTCGTAGTCTTTCTTAATTTTTTTTTTTTAAGAATAGTATCTGACAGATAAGCATTTTATAGAAAGCAACGATGTCATTCTGGAGACTAAGGTGCACTTGATCCGGACCACAGTCTTCACAATTATTTATTATGCAACAGAGAACTAGACAATGAATAGGGATGATAGAAAGAGAATTGATGCCTTTGAGTTGTGGTGCTGGAGAAGACTTGAATATACCGTGGACTGCCAGGAGAACAAACAGGTTCCTCCTGGAGAGGGTGAATCCAGGCTGCTCCTTGGAGGCAAGGATTCTGAGGCTTCATTTGATGTACTTTGGGCATGTTGCAGGGAGGGACAGACCTTAGAGAAGGATATTATATTTGGGAGGGTGGAGGGATGGAGAAAAAGAAGGAGACCATTGATGAGACAGATTGATTCAGTGACTGGGTTAATGTGTCAGAGCCGGTAAAGTTCGCACAGGATAGAGCAGTTTGCCAGGGCTGTTGTACATGGAGACAGTATGAGTCTCAAGCCACTTGAGGGCACATAACAACAACCCGGCTCCAGAAGGCTTTCTGCAACCACTTGGAAGGAAGGTCTTTTGTCTCCTCTGCTTGTTCCCTGGTTGTTTGGAGAGCTTTTGTGCCTCTTCTCTTCCCCGATCTCTATTCTCCTTGCTTGTTTAATCTCAGAAGGTGAAATGCAACTCAACTCATTGTCCTCCAGCCAGCACTGATTCATAGCTCACCCTCCAGGAGGTTTTCAGAGGCTGTGAATTGCACTGCAGGAGATTATCCCCTCTGTCCCTTGTTGCACCTGGTGGATTCCTACTGCTGGTCTTTGAGTTGCCAGCTCCTCACCCATTAAACTACCACACCTACCCCTATCCTAGTCGTTAACATGACAAAGAACGGGTGGGATTATAAACCCGGGCACAGATTTCAGGTTTACAACACATGTTTTTAGAGGACTCAGTTTCCGTAATCTAGATGTTTCTGAGGGCTAAATGCTCTTTACTGGGTCTGTGTACCCCCAGAGCTAAGCTGCCCTTTTCCCACAATATTGCCCACAGAAGCTTTGCCTAGAGGATTCGGGGCTTTCTCTTTGGTACCTTCATACAAGTACTGACCTGAACAAAATGCAAAATTCCTTGAGGTAGACAGGATGAGACCTCCCTCCCCCCACCCCACCCCCGCCCTAGGATCTATCTTTAGCTTAGGCTGCACCTGGACCCTGCTTGCGTCTTCCCTGGCTTGTCCAGTTTCCCGCATGTCCTTTGTCTTACAGTTAATAAACCTCTTGCTTCATTCATTTCCCAGAAAGGAACACCTTTCCTTCTCCCCTCTTTTATCTAGATCCATTTAGAAAATTATTTTTAAAATTTTATTTTATTTTTTGTGTGTACCGTCAAATTGGATCTGACTGGTACAGGAGGAGATTGTCCCTCCTTCTCCAGCAGAGCATCTGGTGGATTCGAACTGCAGGGCTCTGAGATAGCGGTGCAGCTTCTTGCCACTAGGCCACCAGAGCTCCCAATTATTATTATTATTTTTTTTTAAATATAGAAACAACAGATCCTTTTATTTTTTTTTAAGAGAATGAAGCCTTTATTTCCTTGTTTCACACAAAGCTGGCAGAGTTGGTGGCTTTTTGGTTATTAGTCAAAGAGGCCAAATCCCATAAACAGAGCCTTTTACTCAGCACATGAATGCAAAATGATAATGAACTTACATGCTTTTGGTAGAGATCATTCAGATGATTTTTTTGCATGTAGTCCTTTTTAATAGTATTGCAATGACTAATTTACAATCATCATCATTGTAATGTTTCATCTTTAATACTTCCTAAACTGTGTATTGAGTGCAAAAGATACAGCTACATTCTACATGTGTATATTTTTCTTCTAATATTTTTATTGGTTTGCATACAATAAGCAATTTTTTATTCATATTATATTTTATATAGTTAATTACTATTAATCTATGTGTACTGTTGTTGTTGTTAGGTGCTGTCAAATTTGACCTATAGTGACCCTATGCACAACAGATCTGAACCCTGTCCTATTCTGTGCCATCCTCACACTTCCTGATACACTAGAACCCATTGTGGCAATCACCATGTTAGTCCACCTGGGCGAGGGTCTTCCTCTCCTTGACCAACCCTCTACCATTCCCAGCATCATGTTCCTCTCCAAGGAATAGCCCCTCCTGGCAACATGCCCGAAGTATGTGAGGCGAAGCCTCATCATCTTTGCCTCCAAAGAGCACTCCAGCTGCACCCTCTCCAAGACATAACTGTTTGTCCTTTTGGCCATCAATGGGATGTTCAGTGCACTCTTCCAGCACCACAGCTCAAAGGCATCAGTTCACTGTATTGAGATAACTTGTGGGTTGCTATGACACTGAAAGCTATGCCTATTATTACCCCATTTTTGTTGCCTATTTTTGCATTCAAACATTCATCTACATTGTGTTTCACGCATATACATTGTACTTTACCCAATCTTTCATTTACATTGTTTTGCATTCATCTATATTGGGTTTCTTCCCCCTCTTAAAATCATCTTACTAAAAACTACATTTGTAAAAGTGTCTAAGGCAGCTACTTCATGCTTCATGCCTTAATATCCCTATTATGTTGTTGTTGTTACAGTGTACCGTCAAGTCAGAACCAACCCACAGCTGACCCTCAGGTGGGTTTTCAGAGGCAGTTAATCACACTGGAGGAGATAGCCAGTCCTCCTGCAGAGCAGCAACTGGTAGCCTCGAACCATGTGCCTTTGGGATTGCAGCACAGCTCCTTGCCACTAGGCCATCAGAGTTCCCTAACATCCCTATTATAGAAAGCCAATTTCTGGTTTGTCCATCCCTGTTGAACCAGTACTCTCAGGGAACTAGCATTTCTCCTTTGCCAAAGGATCTTGTGTTCAATTTGGAAACTTTGAGCATCAGCATCCATAAGCAAAGTCCAGTCCAGGGCAAGCCATCAGGTTTCAGCAGTCAGTGCTAGCTCACGGCATGCATCGTCTTCTCTTTACCTGATTGGGTTCGGGTCATCTCCTCCCCACCATTTGTGGCTGGGTTCAAATGTACTACCCCATTTTTTTCAAGTCCCCATAGATCATTTAGATCTTGTCAAGAGGTAGGTGCTATAGTGTGGATCCACGCACAGTGAATGCACAGAAAATGAAACACTTCGCAGTCCTGGCATTCATTGTTGGAGACTGCTAATGCTGATTGGATAGTTTGGTTTTTTTAAAAACAGAGCAATGTTGTCATTCTGGAGACTAAGGTGCACCTGATCCAGGCATGGGTTTTGCAATTACTTGTTATGTGTCAGAGAGCTGGACAGTGACTAGGGATGAAAGAAGGAGAATGGATGCTTTTGAGCTGTGGTGCTGGAGAAGAGTATTGAATATACCATGGATTGCTAGAAGAATAAGCAGGTTTGTCCTCGAGAGGGTGAAACCAGGCTGCTCCTTGGAGGCAAGGATACTATGCTGAAGCTCTGTCTGACATACTTGCATGTTGCAAGGAAGGACCAGCCCTTGGAGAGAGACATCATGCTTGGGGGTGGGGGCAGGGACAGTACAAGTGAGGAAGACCCTTGATGAGATGTATTGACTCAGTGCCTGGGGTAATGGGGGTAGGTGTAACAGAGACAATAAAGTTGGCTCAAGATAAACAAGGTTTAGAGCTGTTGTACATAGGGTCACTATGAGTCACAAGCAATGGTGTATGTAACAACAATAACAACAACAACATGTTGAAATATCCACAGCTCTGGTAGTCCTGCAGTAAGGAATTGTGCTGGCAACCCAAAGGTTCAAATCCACTCCATGGGAGAAAGATCTCCTCTCGTGAAATTTCTAGCTTCTAAACTTGACACTGGAGGGTCAGCTAAGAGTCAGTTTTGACTCAATGACACATAACAACAACATACCTACAGGAAGTTGAGCTGCTAATCCAAAAGTGGGTGCCTCTGGAAGTTTGAATCTGCCAACAGTTCTGAGTGAAAAAGATGGACAATCTCCTCGTGTGATTAACAGTCTCCAGAAACCCACTGGAGGGTCAGCTCTGAGTTGATTCCAACTATTATGCTTTTATGGATGGAGAATATTCCCTTCCCAACACTTAATTTTCACTGAGGGCATGTGTTCCTGCTAAGTAGATTCTCAGTGAATCAACGCCAACTCAACTCATTACTGTCAAGTTGAAACTGATCCATAGCTGGTCCTCCAGCAGGTTTTCAAAGGCTGCAAATCACACAAAGGGAGATAGATCACCCATCTTTCTCTCTGGTGGATTCGAATCAGCCTCCGTTGGCTTGGCAGTGTGACTTCCAACCACTAGGCCATCAGAACTCACTCTATAAGCAGACTCCCTGATCCATTCCCCTCCCTCTCTTTTATCTTTCAAAAAGCAGTGCTTCTCAGAATATCTGTGAGGAAGGACTAGGTTTTAAGTTTTAAAAGTTTTCAATCCCCCATGGACCAATCATTTTTTTAAAAAGTGATAATAAATTCTTAGAAAAATGAAAAAAATTAGATACAAAACACAAGTCCAATTTCTTTATTTCTTTAGAATCCACAGACATTACATTCTCTTGTCAAAATGTGGTGGAGCGTCTGAAAACTTGCTCTCAGCTTCTCTCTTCCTCTAGTCCAGTAAGAGCAGTAACCTAATCTCTCCCTGCCTCAGTGTTCTCATCTGTAAAATGGGAATAACAGAAGTTCATTGTAAAGAATGCTGTGACATGATGGCTATAAGGACACTGTATGTTCTCACCATCTATGTCTGGTACAGACTGGGTACTGAAGACATCACAGCTTGTACCTCTGCTGGGCTGTATCCAGCATAGTGCTAGGTGGCCTGAGGGACAGGAGCTGGGTGGATGTAGCCCCTGCCCCAGGGAACTTTCAGGGAGGTAAGGGAGGTAAGATTTGAACATGAAAGCATCAAGGCAGACCATGGCCTGAGGCATTATGGGAGGCCCAGGTAATAGGCTCAGGTGCTCAGAGAGGAAGAGTGAAGACATTCTCAGCTGAGAAGGCAAGCTGACTTCTTAAAGCAAGAAAGAATTCATAGGATGAGAGAAGTGGAGCCAGTTTTCCTAGTGGAACCATGAGCTTAACCCTTATATGACCCATGGGACATATGTCACCCACCATTATTTTTATCCTCTCAGGTTTCTTGGGAAACTCTTGTCCCACTTGGAGTCTGTCCTGCTACCTAGACAGTGAGGGAAGGGGGACCTTTATGACTGCATGAATCTGAAGAGTCCTTACCCTAAAAAAATCCTATGCCCAAGAGTTCAGCTGGGACAGGATGTCCTATCTAATTCTATCAAAATCTGCACAACTGTAAAACAAATTAGTCCTTCATTTTAGCATGCATTCCATGAAAACCAAAAATGCAGAGTTGCAGATAGTTTGGCTGCGAAAGGGTTTAAAGCAGGAACTGGGGAGAGGGCAGGCCAATAGATTCTGGAAGAGCAACTGGCAGTCAGGCCAGAGGCTCTGGAGCAGTGAAGGGGTTGGATGAGAGGTCAGGGGAGCCATATGATGTTTTGGAGAGGTGACCTGTATGAAGTAACAAGCTAAGAGGGTCCCCTAGGCAGTAACTGACAGAGTGTGTGGCTTGGAGGAGAAACTGGGAGTAAGTGACCAACGGGGTGGTCCTAGTGAATGGTTGAGTGGCTGGGGCATTATGACTCTGCTCACCTGGTTTAGTGGCTCATAGTGCTGAAACTAGACACCTAGGAGCCTTGGGGGCCTCAAACCCACCCACTCCCACCCTGAGACCCCACTGGCCATCTCTCAACCCGTCTTCCAGCCATCTCAAGGCTCCCTGACGGCAGAAAAATTCATAGCCATTGATTTTGTAATTAACAGTTTATCAATGCCATCGATACAGACTCGCTGATGGATTGCAAATAAATTAATCTAGTGATGTTATTTTATTTCATTTTTGGTTGAAGACAGCTGCCAATTTTGGCCTCCTTGGTAGGGCGGGGAATAGAAAGGCTGGGAGCATGGGGGAGCGGGAGCTGATGGGGCAGGAGTCTGGGTGCTGAACTGCAGCCTTGCCGGGTCAGTCCAGATGACCACTCTGAAAATGGGTGCTGGATAAGCATCAAGCCATGCTTCATCTCCCGCTGGCCAAGGTGCAGTCAGTCCTCCTGGCCATGGTCACGACAGAAAAATGTGGAGCTGGGAGCTGAAGCCAGTGACATACAGACTCTTCAAGGGCACCCCCTCCCAGCTGGCCTCCCCCCACGGAGATAATAATAGCTAACATTGATTAGGTGTATGCTGCATGCCAGGTCATATTCCAGTTCAGGTCGTCCTCACCATCACCCTATGAGGTATATGCTCTTATTTTACACAGAGGGAAACCATTTCAGAGAGGCTAAGTAACTTGGCCAAGGACACACAGCACCTTGAGTCTTACCTGCCCCACTCTACTGCCGTCCTCTCAAGAGAAATGGGTTTTTCGTCCATTGAAGTGAGCAGTTCAATTCTCCATGGAAGTAGAGTCCAGTGTGGTGGGGAGGCTACTGGCATCAGCCAGTTGGTGTAGCTGCCCTTGGCAGCCTGGCATCATCCGAAGTAACCCAGCATGCAATGGGATTACCCATTCAATGAATTGAGGAATTGTCAGCCCTCCTGTCACCCTCCCCTCAGCTTCACGTTCTCCCCATTCCGTACAGCCCAGTTCTCTCACTTGTGGTAGGCACTGGGCGGTACAGTTCAGGATAGTGGCCCCGCTCACTAGGGGTGTCAGAAGATTGCTCTGTGTCTCCCACGTCTAGAGAGCAGGTTTTAGGGGTTCTACAAGACTTGGCTCTGCCTGACTGTGCAACCCAGCTGGCAGCTGATACCTCCAGGCCCTCTGAGATTTGGGAATTTTATTTGCATCCTCAATTCCCTGCCTGGGCCCAAAGCCCACCTCAAGATTCCAGAGAACCACAACAGCCCCCTGCAGCACCGTGGTCCCACTGTGCCCTCACCCCATGCCCCATTCGACCCCTTTATCTGTCCAAATTCAGTAACTGGTAATTATGTGAGGTCTGAGTGCACCGAGGCTTTAAAGAGGGGGTGGAAGTCTCTCGGTGATGGTGGTGGTATTGCTGCTGACAGGGGCTTCCCTGTGTCGAGGACTATTCTAGACACTTGGCCTGCGTGAAATCATTTAACCCTTTCAGGTAGCTGTAGCTGTTTTCCTTTCTCACAGATAGGGGAAGTGAAGCACAGAGAAGTTTTAGAGTTACATGGCCAGCAAGTGAGAAATGCAGGGTTCCCATTTCACAGCCTGGCTCCGGAGTCCGACCACTTCCAGAGTGACCACCAGGTCTGCTCATCTCCTCTGTTGCCACCTCCGAACCCCCTTGGTGGTTGCACAGGAAGTACTTTCCACAAGTGCAGCTCTCAGCCAGGCTTCAAGCCCCAGCTCACGCATTAGCCTCAGAGACCTCCCAGTGACAATTCCGCCTGGATTTCCTTCCCTTTCAAATGTTGATGATGGATTTGAAACAGAGGGCTGTGGGCCCTCAAATGGCAGGGCCGTGGGCTGTACTCCCTGACCCCTGCTCACGCTTGTCCTTACGCCTGCAGATCCCACACAGATCGAGGACCTGGAGTCCGTCCAGAAGCTGCAGGACCTGCTGCACGAGGCGCTGCAGGACTACGAGCTGAGCCAGCACCACGAGGAGCCGCAGAGGACGGGCAAGCTGCTGCTGACGCTGCCCCTGCTGCGGCAGACGGCAGCCAAGGCCGTGCAGCACTTCAGGAACGTCAAACTGCAGGGCAAAGTGCCCATGCACAAACTCTTCTTGGAGATGCTGGAGGCCAAGGTCTGACGGCCTGCCCACAGACAGACAGACAGACAGAAGGATGGCCGAGGAGCCCTCCGCAGCCACCAGCCTCACTCTTCCATCCCTGAGTTCCAGCGAGGAGCAGTCCCAGGGGAAGGGTTAACCTTGGTTCTGGCTGTGTGTGTGTGTGTGTGTGTGTGTGTATGTGTGTATGTGTGTGTGTGCAGACTCCTGGTGCAGGGGGTGGGGCATGGGGTGGGGGCGGCAGGGGGGGCTCATCTGTAACCTGCTTTTTCGTTGGTATGTTTCCCCACTCCACCAGCCCGGGGTTGACTCCCCTTGGGACCAGTGACCATTGGAAGAAGTACCTCTGGTCCCCTAATAAACCACCAAGAGGCAGCCCGTCCATTTCCTCAATCCCTCTCCCACCTCCCCATCCATGGTTGGGTGGCTAGTGCTCAGGGCCCAGGGTGATGCCACCCAGAGGGCTTCCTGCCCCGAGCACAGATGGGGATGGTAGGCTGGCCTACCCCGAGACGCTGCACCTCTCACAGGCCAGAGGCTGCCTCCCTGCATTTTGTCAGCTCCCAGCCAGGACTTGCCCGCAGGAGGAGTGGCTAACACGCACTCCTTCTCCTGGCATGCCACCAGTTGGTGGCTCCCTGTCACCACCCGCACTAGTGCCCCCTTTGCACCCTAAGAGTTCCCTCTGCTGCCTCCTGCCCCTACCTCAGAGCTCACTCAGACTCGGTACAGTGTGCAAAGAGACATTAGAAATGCGGGCTGGGAGGAGAGGAGGGGCCAGGAGACACTTCCAGAGTCCCAGCCTTCTGTCACTTTCTCAAAAGCCCTGTCATCTCAGCCCAGCAGTCTTAGGGTGGATCCAGACCAGTGGGCTCATCAGCACTGGGGTGTTCAGGAGCCTGACCCCACCAAGGACATCTGTGGTCACTAAGTCAAGGTTAATGGTTCAAGGAGGAGGGGCTTAAGATGCAGTGGTGCTCAAACCCATCTTGATGAGCACAGGAATGCCCAGAAACATACCAGCAGGCCAGGGAAGCCTAAAGAGGAGGCCAGTGAGGTCACAAGGCTACCTGGTCCATCCTGACACCCAGTGACAATTGACACCCTCCCTGCATTCCCCAGGGCTGGCTCCTGGCCTGAGTCAGGGAGGATTGGTCCATGGACTCTCACAGTTCTGCCCATTCTGTAGGATGTCAGCTATCCTGGTTTGCCCAAGGGGTCCTCTTATTAACACTTGCCCATGCCCCTTGAGCCTCTCTGTGGGTTAATCTCTATGGAGGGACTGGGGACATCAGCTTTAGCCCACTCAAGGGGAGCCCTGAGCCCCCAGTCTGGTGCTTGTGGGCTGGCTGATGGCAGCTTAGGATGAAGGGATATCAAGCCAAATGGGTTTGGAAAAAAAATCCTATTAAGATGCCTCTAAAGCCAGGATCAAGGCCACCCCAGGTAGGACACATTTCTGGCGAGTTCTGTTCTCCCTCCCTCTAACTCAGCATCCTCTTATTCTAGAGAATCAGATAGAGTGCTCTGCCCTGTCATTTTGGCATCTGAGCAGAAGCACCTTGCACCTGTCCCTGTGATCCAACCTAGTGGGGCCCTTTCCCACACCCCTCAATGCAGCATTAGTAGCAGGGAATAGCAGAATCTGCTGGGCACCCCCTCCACCATGGCTTTGCATCCCTAGTTCACAGGGCCTGAACTTGATGCTGGTCTCTTCCCAGACAGCAAGGCTCACATAGTCAGTTTCAGAGATTCCAGCAGACCTCTCACACACGGTCGGATTAGGTTGTCCTCCTCCTAAACCCTGTTTTCTATGGGTAATCCGAGACCCAAGTCATCTGGCAAGTCAGCACTGAAACTCCAGCCCAGGGCACATCTTCTGGCTCTTCTGCAGGCTCCTCACAAGTCCTGTTGTTCCCTAACTGGGTGGGCAGGAAACATGCAAGATAAAGCCCATTGCAGCAACCCCCTGAGCTTAACTGATCATCTTCTGGGGCATGCCCCAGGGAGGCAGAAATGGGGACAGTGCCTGAGAGAACATGGTGTGGTCCTGTGGGAGGCCTGGATCCCTCCGCCTGGGTGCTCAGAACATTAGAGGGCCAGTGAGTGGGCGCTTGCCTCCCTGATATCCCAGAACTGCAGAGTCACAACAATCGTGAGGCCTGGACCTCAGTGCAGCTGGGCTTCTGCATAATTGATCCTTGGTCATCTTCTCTAGGAAAAGGCATCTCTGGTTAACCATATGGCCATCAGATACTGGCTCAGTGGGCTGGATTAGGTGGACGTCCAAACACCTGGCAGTTTGACTTCATTGAGCCTGAGGTTTCTGTAGTGCCTGGAGCTACAGCCCAGTGAGCATACAGTGCATGCAGAAGAAGAGTTGGGTTTTAACTTAGTGGGAAGCTGAGATGTGGGACCCTTTGTATTGGGAGAGAGTGTGGTGAGAATTTTTCAAGTCCTGTCCCCCTAAACAACAGAATTCAAGTTTACCCTCAAATCTACCATGCCTGGGGAATCTGTACAAAGGAAATTGCCCTTCTCAATTGTACTTTCATGATACAAGTCATTCAGAACAAATCAAGAAATAAAATATAAGCATCCAACCATGGACAAAGATAGTATTGGCTGGGTTTTGTTTAGTCCCCTTATCCCCATCCTTTCTGAAAGTTCCAGACTGGTTTGTCACCTGAACTCCAATAGTGGATCTGTTTTTGCATATGAGAAATGGACACTTCCAAGGCTACAACTTAAGACTAGAACTAGAAGACCTGAAGACTGGAGCAGGATGTTGGCCAGGAGGCCCTGAGGAGGCATAGAGGAGCCAGAGCCTGCACTGCTGGGTCAGAGCCAGCCCTCTCTCTCCAGACTCACTGTCCCCTGTGCAGAGGGGACATGTGGGAGGGCAACAGGCGCATGTCAAGGAAACGAAGGGTTTGGAGCCCACGTCCATGGAACAGCACCAAAGAAAAGCTCTATGTGGAAAGATCGTTTTATTTTCTAATAATGATAAGACAGCTGGAATGGCATAAAATGTATATATTTTTAAAGATGGTAATCCCTCATTGCAGCATCACTCATCTACTGTCTGTATGTTTCCCTGCCTCTGTATATGTTCTCCCAAAGACCCCAGTGTCAATCAAGCACCCTGAGATTCTTCTGTCCTGGTCCCATGTATCTAATAAATAAGGAAAGGCCGACTGGAAGAGTTTGCTCACATATCATCTTTCTGTGCTTAGCTCTCAGCCCTGCTCTTGGTTCTCAGATACGCAAGGATTAGGCTATCTGGAGAACCAGCACAGCCTTGGGTCTACCTGAAGATTCATGTGTGCCCAGCAACAGAACTCGGGCATGCTAGTTGAGAGATATACTGTAGGCTTGAGGACATCTGCCTGCTGCTGTCCAAAACCTGCCAACCCTTTGTGACATCCTCATGTGTTATGCAGAACAGAACTGTTCCACAGGATTTTCTGGGCTGTAATGTCTACAGAACTAGTTTGCCAGGTCTTTATTCCATGGGTCCACTGGGTGGATCAAAATCCACCAACTTGTGGGTTTCAGTAGCCAATCTCAACCATTTATACCGCACAGGTGTACTTTCAATATAAGTGGTGAGATATTTCTATTAATATGAGGGGAGAAATGGAACATCAAATACACAAACAAAACCAGTTATTTTGTCTGTGATTATTAAACGTGTGGGTTTTAATATCCCAGGAACCACAGAGAGGGGAAGGGCTAAAAGATTTAAAAAAAAAACAAAACCCACCCTAAACCCAACTCTATCAGGATATCTTCTGTTGCAAGTTCGAAACATCTCGGCTTATACTGGCTTATTAGATTTGCTACTTTGGTATTTTTGCTGAGGAACAACGGTGTCTCTGGAGACTAAGGTGCGCCTGATACAGGCCATGGTCTTTGCAATCGCTTGTTATGCATCAGAGAGTTGGACAATGACTAGGGAGGACAGAAGGTGAGTGGATGCTTTTGAGCTGTGGTGCTGGAGAAGGGTACTGACTGTACCATGGACTGCCAGGAAAACAAGCAGATTCATCTTGGAGAGGATTAAACCAAGCTACTCCTTGGAGGCAAGGATTCTGGGGCTTTGTCTGACATACTTTGGACATGTTGCCAGGAGGGACGGGTCCTTGGAGAGGGACATCATGCTCGGGAGGGTGGAGGGGCAGCGCAGGAGGGGAAGACCCTCTATGAGATGGATTGATTCGGTGACTGGGGTAATCAGGATGGGTGTGTCAGAGGCGGTGCGGTTGGCGCAGGATAGAGCAGGGTTTAGAGCTGTTGTGCACAGGGTCGCTATGAGTCGCAAGCGACTCGACAGCACATAACAACAACAACAACAACTTTGGTTATGTCCCCAGTGGTGGCCTAGTGGCAAGAAGCTATGCTGCAGTCTTGAAGGCATGTGTTTCAAATCCACCAGCTGCTCCGTGGGAGAAGGATGGGCAGTCTCCTCCCATGCAATTAACTGCCTCTGAAAATCTGCTGGAGGGTCAGCTATGGGTCAGTTCTGACTCAATGGTACACAACAACAATTCTGGTTATAGGTGAAGTTCAGAAATGTGGTGGACTTCAGGCAAAGTTTAACACAGAGGTTCACAAATAGTGTCGAGAATCTTTGCCTCTCGAATCCTTAGGTCTGCCCTCCTCTCCATTGGCTTTGTTCTCAGCTAGCCCTGTACACGATAGCAAGACTAGTCAATTTTTCTGTGCAATCTCCACATCTTGGAGTGCTTTATATGTCATTTCCTGACATGAGTAACGGTATCTTCCCATAACTATGGAAAATTTCTGAGCTTCATTCTGAGCCCTCACAGTTTTTTTCCCTTTCCTTTAACAAATCACTGGTACCAGCTAGAGATGAGACTATTCTCCCAGAGCCCTCCTGCTACCCAATGAGAAAGGCTTGGGTTAGAGGCCACGAGACAGCCATATTGCCCATAGAACTAGCATTAGAGTTGCCAACTGAACCAACATTCAGTCTCATCAGTTTTCAGTGAGCTGAACTGGAAGCTCCCAGGAACCACATGGCAGTCT